TGCTCGTGCGTGAAGCTGTGCATCTCCCACTCACACCGTCCCAGAGCTGGGCTGCCAATCTGGAAAGATTGGGGACCGCTGCTCTAACAAATGTACTTAGATCAGTTTCATATCTGCTAGAAATCCCTAGAAAAAATCAGAACTGGAGAAGAACAGCAGATAAGCAATCCTCTTTAGATGTGGGTTAGTACAATTGAACAGGAAAAAGATTGACATGAAGACACAAGCACTCAACATCCAGCAAGTACTTCTGTTTCCAATGTAGAACACATTTATAGACAATTTACTCTGGTTTGTCCTCTGAGAAGGAGAGCTTACATAATAAGTTACTAGAATGTGAGAATGTAACGTGCACTTGAACAGTGGTATCTGCAAGATATTGTTAAAATAAAAAATTAAGATGGTGGCTCTGATGGTGTAATCAAAGTTTCTAAACCCCACCCCTTTTTCTCTTTTGCGTCATATGTACAACACACCCACATAAAAACAGGCAAAGCATTGATTGCATTGTTGTAGCTGCCAATGTTGACTTTTTGGCCGTACTATGTGGATAACCCTATGGAAGGACCATGAGGGGACAAATCTGAGATGTTTGCTCAAAACATTATACATGAAGATTTGCTACCCGCCATATAACCTTCTCAGGAAGGGAGTGTTTTAACTATTTGCAAAATTTCAAAGACATTTGCTGAGTTATGGGAAAAGCGTGAGAGGCTGAACTACTTACTAACCAATTCTAATGTGCATTTCCCCCCCTCAGTTGGAACTGGCTTAATCTAAGGAAGGAAAGGATGTTGCTGGTTTCAAACATGGCTTCCCAGACTGGATGGCACCAAAACACCTAATCTTCTTTTTTTAAAAAAAATTGAATGGAAGTGAAAGATTCCTCAGAAGCTTAAGGCATCAGTTTCACATCTTAAGAAACCCTAAATTTCCCTCTCAATCTAGCCTTAGCCTCATCTATGTGAACTCTGGTTCAGTGTGGATTGTCAGAACCCAGCCGTTGTGATTCACAAAACACACATTATGGCTCCAGGCAAATTGTAAACATGGCAAATCATGGCTTATTCAACAATCTTCCATCATATTATAGCTTAGGGCAAAATGTGAACCAAGTTTCTACATTCCCAATACATTCAGCAACAATCTGAACAATCCGTGTAGAGATGGCCAAACTGGGCCACTTTTGAGACTTGTAGACCAGTGATCCCCAACCTTTTTGACGCCGCGGCCCGGTACTGGCTTCAGCTGGGCGCCGCGGCCCGGTACCGGCATCAGCTGGGCGCCGCCATCTTTTTTTGATGAAAAAGTGCTTCCGGTGACCTACCCGGAAAAGCTCACCGGAAGCGCTGGCACCGCCATCTTTTTTTGATGAAAACGTGCTTCCGGTGAGCTTTCTACCCAGAAAAGCTCACTGGAAGCACTTTTTCATGAAAAAAAGATGGCGGCGCCCAGCAAGCCGCGGACCGGTAGGAGTTGTTCCGCGGACCGGTACCGGTCCGCGGACCGGTGGTTGGGGACCCCTGTTGTAGATTGTAACGTGGCTGGCTGGGGAATTCTGGGAGTTGAAGTCCACAGGTCTCAAAGTTGCCAAAGTTGGCCACCCCTGGTGTAGATTGTGAATCTAGGACAGGGCTGTCAAACTTGCAGCCTGCGGGCTGGATGCATGACGCGCTGGCCATGCCCACACCCAGTTTAGCGAAGGGGGAAAAAGTTGCGATACGTCATGTGATGACGACGTGAGGACATGAGTTTGACACCCCTGATCTAGGAGATTCCAGAAAATCAGCTTGGGGGAAAAAGCAATGAGGCGAAATAAACTCATTCTGAAGTATTAGTAAGATAGAGAAATGGGTTGGCTCAATAACCAATCAAATGGAAACGGGACAATCATTTCAGAAATATTCTTGAGGGCACACTTGGTTACAGACTGATCTCCTGCTACATGTACTATCATACTACTGCAAACTCTGTGAGGAACAGTTAGGCTCTGCTGCTAAATTGCAGCACTTTTGTTACACTCAAAGGGTCCCTGAAGGCTGATGCTAAATAATCCCACCAATCAGAAAACAATTTCTCCAAATCTTCTCAATCATGCAGGACTTCATTTGTCAAATTCAAAAACAGTTATGTTTTATATGGGGGCTGGGGGGCCAGGGGAAAATCTGTTTTTTTTTTTTCATTTTAATTATCTTTACAAATACAACCCAACTTCCCTTGACTATCAACAGTGTCTGTATTTACATGTAGGCTAATAAAAATTAGTTGTGAGCAAAGAAGTAACCATTAAAAATGGAAAACTGATCATCTAATGAAGTCCTAAGCCTGCTGGTGAATTTTTCCCACCTATTGGGATCTTGCTTGTATAGCTGCCAAGACATACAATCAAGGTGGACAAACTTTGATATCAAAGTTTCTTTTGCAGTTCTGTCTCATCCATCCGAACTGCATTTCAAAACAAGGAATGAGATTGTATTTACTTTTAAAAATAAAATTGAACACTACCCAGGCGGAGGACATAAAGAGTATGGGAGAAATAGGCAAGTCATATTGTGTTTGTTTCCCTTTTCTTTACATTCTGGCATTCATACCTATAGACCTCCAAAGGGGACATTTGAAAGATCTTCTGAAATGGTACTTGTCAGATCACTGGGTTTTCCCTTAATATAGCTACATGAGAACATCAACGCAGAATTTAGTCTACTTATGATGCGGCCAATGAATATGAAATGCAGGATGCACCTTTCTTGAAAACCAACAGCATAATGGATTTCTGCCTTATTGGTAGAAGGATAACGCTAAGGTTTCTTTTTCTTGTTTTATGTAGTTGCTTTCCAATCTCCCTTGGGCCAGAAACCAATTCCATCTGTTTAGGCCAGGAGTTCCCAACATTGGCAACTTTAAGACCTATGGACTTCAACTCCCAGAATTCCCCAGCCAGCAAAGGGAGTTCTGGGAGTTGAAGTTCACAGGTCCTAAAGCTGCCAATATTGGGAACTCCTGGCCTAGATCCCTCGCTTCCAAACTGCTGTCCTAAAGAACCACGACGCTCTTTGGAAATTTCTTGCGGCTGTAGAAGGGACAGATAAATGATAAGTGACATTTCCTTAGCTAAAATATTAAGATGGATCACGGCATCTACAAAATGGCCTCTGCATCAAGGAGGAAAATGCAGGATGGCAGTCATCCTTAATGTTGTGGTGACCTTCCAGAAGAGTGACTTCCAGAATCCTCAGCAATGGCCTGGCTGCCTGAAAAATTCTAGAAGCTGAAGACCTCCCTTCTAGAAGGGGCATGTGACTTTGTGTAGGACTGCAGCGAGTCCTAGGCAGTGTTTCACATACATACATTGTCTCTGCTCGACATCACATGCAATCAGCTTGTGACAATCAAATTGATGAAGAGTGGATCCCTTGAAGTAAGAGTGGAGTCCCCTCAGACCGAAGTCAGTAGGCACCAGGTTCGCAGCCCATACACAATGCATCCCAGAAGAAACGGTTACCCGGCATTTCATTCACGGTCCGTCTTTAAAGTCTGATGCTCTTAAAAACACATGAAAGGATAACGATGCTTACAAAAGATGGTAAGGGTGAGAGGGATCCTAAGACATCTCTCCAAAGTCTATCTCAGTTCCAAAAAAACGGGAAATTCCTTCAGACACCATAGAAAATTGCCACCACCATCAGCAGATGAACAGGTGATGCTTGCTTGAAACTTGCTCACCCAAAGTAGGGGAAAGGGAGGTGGCACAGACAGTTGTGCAATATACAGGTAGGAGTTGCATGTTGCACAGGGACATGCCTTTTCGGAAAAACAATCAAGAGCCACCAAACAACAACAGAGGCGCCTTGCTCCAGAAATGGGAAGTCTTGTTGTGGGCTCATCTCTGTCTGGATTTGACTGAATTGTGTGGAAGAACGAGCAAGAGGTCCGAGGCAGAATTCTCCAGGCTGAGAAAGAGAGAGCAAGTTCTTTGCAATGGAGGTGCATAATCTTCGGTGGTGACGTGCCCAGGGTGTCACAGCCTGTCTCCAAAGCAGAATACCCTTCCCTTTGCTCCATGAATTGCGGTGCTCCTGTTTTGTGTGTGCGTGTGAAGTCCCGCAGGCGCATCTAGGCTGCCAGTTGGGATCAACCATTAATTTACACAATCGGTTATTCCACTTTGACAAAAGTGGACCCATCAAAAACCAAGGGCAGTACGGCCTTCTCCATTTCACGGAGTATTGTCTTATTTTCAAATCCTTCCCTTTTCTTTCTTTTTTTTTAATAATATCACAGGCAGCATTGTATCATCATCTTTTTTAAAAAGAACAAATAAACAAATATGCAGCTTATAAACCCAGGCTAATATTTTATGTATATATATATGTGTATGTATGTGTATGTGTTTATGTGTATGTGTGTGTGTGTGTGTGTGTGTGTGTGTGTATATATTCTTAAGTTTTCGCGGGTACTTACATGTATGGTATTCGGCTTTGTTCGGGTATTTTCCCATGTCATTATAGTTGTGCTTTTAAAGTTGTAGCAATGTTTTGGCAGAATCTCATCTGCCATCATCAGGCTTCTGTATTCTGTATCCTCACAGACGAACACAATACAGAAGCCTGATGATGGCAGATGAGATTCTGCTGAAACGTTGCTACAACTTTAAAAGCACAACTATAATGACGTGGGAAA